ATAGAAGAAAAATAGTAAGAACACGGTAGAAGAATACAGTAGGCGAAACATACCAGAACATAGGTGAAGAAAATAGCAGGATATAGTAGAAAAGCATACAAGAGCATAGTATAGAAAGCACAGTAGAAGAACATACAAGAACGAAACATAGAAAGCACAGTAGAAGAACATACATGGTAGAGGAAAACATAGAACACAGTAGAGGCAAATACACACAAAAAAAGGAAAAGAAAGTCAAAGAAACACTTAAGCATTTTCAGAAAACCCTAAATCGTAAAAGAAAGACTTTGAAAAGTAATTTTCGAAAGAAAAGTTAGGGAGATCATTTGAAAACTCAAAGAGAGCACAGATACACAACGGATCTAAATAGATCGGAGAAAACCTCGAAGGGTTAGGGTTTCAGAAGAACCCTAGAAATGAGAAAGGCTTTGAAAAGGTCACCGATCTGAGTCGGAGAGGTCAGAACTAGGCTCAAAACACCATGGTACGCCGGAGCAAGACCGGCGATGACTATGGAACCTTGAATCGACAGAGGTCTGGGTGCAAACCTTCGAGGCCAGGCCTTGAATCTTCAGAGATCAGGCGTGTAAGAGCAATATGAGGTAGGTATAAGACTCCCATAGCCCTGGAAGCCATGGATTCCGGTGGCTTTCAGGGTGGAAGCGGTAAAAGGCGGCTAGGGTTATGAGAAGACTCGAGAGAGTGCAGGGTTTCAGAGGCGGCTGGGGTTGGGAAAATGGTTAGTGTTAGGGGGTGGGTCGGGATTAAAAAGGAAAGGGTATTTGGTGGCCGTTGATCATTTTGATCAACGACCTGGATTAATTGAGTAGGTGGTGCGGTTTAACAGGGTTGGGTTTGGGTCGGTTCAAACAGGGATTGGATCAGGGTAATTGGGTTTAAAATTGGGTTCAATGTGAGGTTCAAATAAGGCTAAAATTGAAATAAACGGGGCTAACATTTAAATAGCCATTTTCCCTTATTTATTTTATAAAAAATAGTAAAATAATTTCTGAAAATAAATTAAAGGTACTAAAATGATTAATAATATGTAATTATCAAATTAAAAATATTTGAGTCAATTTTATAATTATGAAAATAATTAAATCTTAAAATAGGCTAATATCGCAATTATACGCAATTTAGCATTAAAAATACTAAACAAATTTGTAAAAATATGAAAAAATTATGCCAGCTATATTTTTATAAATATGAGAATCCAATAAGTAAATCACCCAAAATGATAATTTTGAGAATAATTATTGGGTTTTTCTTAATAAAATAGGGCAATAAATAGATTTAAAAATCTATAAAAATTACAAGAAAAATAGTAAAACCTTGGGACATACTTATATATGCATATACCTGCTATTTTGATAGTATTTTGCATATAAAAATATACAGGGAAAAATTGGGTATCAACAGGTTGTGAGTTCGAGTCTCCCCAAGAGCAAGGTGAGAAGTTCTTGGAGGAAAGGATGTCGGGGGTCTATTTGGAAACAGCCTCTCTACCACAGGGTAGGGGTAAGGTCTGCGTACACACTACCCTCCCCAGACTCCACTAAGTGGGATTATACTGGGTTGTTGTTGGTGACTGCATTCAGTTCTCTTTCCCCTTCTATGTTGCGCCTTTGCCCTGCGTGGGTTGGGTTTTGCCTCAACGCTCTTTTTGATGGGTAATCGTGTTTTTTGTCTTTAATATGGAAAAGACTAGAAAATTTCACTAAGAAATCCCCACAGACGGCGCCAAATTATTTGACTCAAAAGATATTGGAACCTTTTTGAACAAATCAATTAAAGAAAATGAAGGGGTAAATCTTAGTTGAACATAATAAATTTTTGGACTAATGAGCTAGATGGGAAAAATATTATATGAGATGAAATAGAGACAATCAATCTTATTGAAACTCTTCATTGTGGTTCCCATTAATCAATGAGGGAGGTTGTTTTACATGTTTTTTTGGAGATTGCTTCGTTCTCCTTTTCATTATGATGATTACAGAAGAGAAAATTAAGGGGAGAGGGAGAAGTGAAGAACCGTCCCCTTGACCAGAGGTTTCCCCCCACTATATATAGTCATGAGACCTTTGCTATTTACTTGGTCTGACGCTCTCTCACACTACGTCTGCCTTGGTCGTCCTCTAGACGTCGTTCTTTCTGACTCGACGAGTATCGAGAGTGCCGGATGTGGAGTAGACCATGTCGTCTTTTGCTGTCTTGCCACCTGGACGGGATGTTGGTCAGCTTGACCGCAGCGGTCAAATTTTGACCAGTACAAATGACATCATGAAACGACAAAAAATAATACAATCTATCCAAATATTGTATACATCAAAATAATACAATTTACTGTACAATACATTATGAAACGACACATAACAACCCTCCAAACAAATTGTAACTGCTTAAGAATGTGACGTCGTAATCAATAAAGTTAAAATAAAGATTGTGAATAACTTATGTTCATATAGCAAAGATAAAAAAGTTAGATAATTCTAATTCTCAGCTTTTGCGAAGAAGAAATAGGTAGGAATCTTGTGAACTTATATCACGAGCTGAAGCTACACCTACCATTATTGCTTATATGTTAAATCCACCTCATTTCTCATTTCTAAAATAAAAAATTTAAAACTAAATTACTTTTTAAATATAAAACATATTATTTTAACAAATCAATAATAGTAAAATATTATCATGTATATAATAATAGAACAAAGGAAGTACCAAAAATGGCGTGCACTAAATTTCCATTATGTGCGGAGTTCGGGAAAAGACCGGATCACAAGAATTTATTATACACATACTTACCCTATATTTCTGCAAGAGACTGTTTTTACAGTTCGAACTCGTGACATCCCGGTCTAATAGCAGGAAGTACCAAAAGCGGTGTCTGGTGCACTAAGTTTCCACTATGTACGAGATTAGGGAAGGATCAGACCATAAAGGTTTATTATACACATTTTTACCCTATATTTCTGTACGAGACTGTTTTCACGGTTCGAACATGTAACCTACCGGTCACATGACATCAATTTTATCAGTTACGCCAAGACTTCTGTAAGAGATTATTTTCATAATTCGAACCCATAATCTCTCGATTGCATGACAACATCTTTACCAGTTACGTCGAAACTACCGAAAGTACCAAAATAGTTAGTAAATGGTACAAGTAGAAATATGTTACAGTTGGTGAAATCAAACAGTATTTTTGGTAAATAAATAATGTTAGTACTACTAAAGAAAATAATAATAATGTTAGTATAGTACATAACAGTCACCATCTAATGCCGGCAATTTCTGTGAAGATGCCACTGAGAGAGTTGTGGCACTTTTTTCAAGAGAAAAAATAATGCTTCACTCACTAATTGTAAGAAGCCATTGTAGTACTAGTTAGGACATGAACAGTGGAAATAATCAAGAACTGAAAATACATTTTATGAAAAATGGGCTCCTCAAAAACCCATCATTATGTCTTCAATCCCAAGTTTAAAAAGTTAAAGACATGATGTGATTGCCACCATTACCTGTTTCTGTTTGTTTTTCTCTTATTACTGAGTATATCAAAATATCAAAAAGCTTCAATCTTTCTGCAATCTCTCTGAAGAATCTTTAATTTCAGACCAGACCAACAAAATCCCAGGTTTTTTTCTTACTCTATATCTCAGATCTTTTGAGAAAATGTTATGTTAATGCTCAAGTTTTGATCTTTATTGTGTTTTGGAATGTTGGAGTTGTTAATGATTTCATCTTTAGTTAATTCAGATTTTGTTGTAATCAGATCTTGTTGAGAAATGTTGTGATATTGCTCAAGTGTTGATCTCTTTTGGATTCTTGAAAGTTGGTGTTGTTAAAGATTTCAACTTTAGTTAATTCAGATTTTGTCCTAATCAGATCTTTTGAGAAATGCTGTGAGCTTAAGTTTTATTCTTTTTTAGGTTCTTGAAAGTTGGAGTTGTTAAAGATTTCATCTTTAGCTATTTAGATTTTGTTGTAATCAGATCTTTTGAGAAATGCTGTGATATTGCTCAAGTTTGATACTTTTTTAGGTTCTTTACAACGACAACAAACCCATTGTAATTACACAAGTGGAGTATGGGGAGTATAGTGTGTACCTTACCCCTATTTTACCTTATGAAATACAAAGCCTGTTTCCGGTGGACCCTCGGCTCAAGGAAGAGTATTTTTTTGGGTTCTTTGAAATCTTTAGTGATTCAAATTTGTTATAGCTGATTATTCATTCACAACAATTGTCAGCAAAGATTGAATTTTTTTTTTTATAATAATTTTATATTCTTACTTTTTTGGCCTGTGAATGTAGTGATCTACGATTTAAATTTCCTCAGTGTTTTTATTTTGTGTTGTGTTGGCCTCTGTGAGAATTCTGTCCCAGATCTGTGATTTCTGCAACTGTTTTTAGTTTTTAGTTATTCACTGTTCCTTGAGCCGAGGGTTTATCGGAAACAGCCTTTCTATCTTTATAAGGTAGGGGTAAGGTCTGCGTACACGTTACCCTCCCCAAACCCCACTTATGATATTATGGTTTATTGTTGGTGTTGTAGTTATTTATAGGTGGATTTGGAAATGAACCTTTGTTACTATGAGTTTTAGATGAGACAATTTCTTTTGTGAATATTTAAGATGTAATTCTGATGATAATAATGCTGTCCTCTGAATATTCTGCTTATGTTTGCCTCGAAGATCTGTTATTTCTTTCAAAGTTGTAGGCGCCTGCTTTGTTTTCTTATGCTTTTTCCTTTTTTCTTTTTGCAATTTGCATGGGCAGATTGTTTTGGAGTGGGGCTTAGGTTTAGTCTTGCTGCACGTTGGAGCAACGCTACTATGCTTAAGCAAATCCTTGCAAAACTTCCTAGAAAATCATCGAAATGTGATTCGTTTGATACATCAGGAAGCAATTCCTGCAACAACACCACGAACTCGGGAAATGGAATTCCGTTTACCAATAGTTGCACTGTCATAGCAACAAGGCTGAATGTAGTGAAACGGATGTCGACAGCGATTTTTCCTACAAGTATTGTTGCTGGTAATGAGTCTGTGGCACCACACGTTCCCTTTAAAGATGTTTCAAATGGGGAGAAACAAAGCTTATTCATAAGCAAGTTGAATCTCTGCTGTTCTATTTACGATTTCAATGATCCTGATAAGGATTTGACGGAGAAGGACTTGAAACGACAAGTTTTGCTTGAGCTGAATGATTTTGTCGCTTCAGGATCCGCAAGATTTACAGAATCAGCAATCGCTGCGGTCTGTAAAATGTGTGCAGTTAACCTGTTCAGAACGTTTCCTCCTAAGTCATATCTCTCAGCTCGCAGTGAAAGTGAAGATGAAGAACCGATGTTTGATCCAGCTTGGTGTCATTTACAACTTGTGTATGACTTATTCCTTAGCGTCATTAGTCAAAGCTCTCTTGACGCAAAAGTTGCTAAGAAACACGTAGACCATTCTTTCATTTTGAAATTGCTTAACCTATTTGATTCTGAGGACCCAAGAGAAAGAGAATGCTTGAAGTCGATATTGCATCGTCTTTACGGGAAGTTTATGATGCACAGGCCTTCTATCAGAAAGGCTGTAAGCAATATTTTTTATCGTTTTGCTTTCGAGACCGAAAGGCATAATGGGATTGCCGAGCTTCTAGAGGTTTTTGGAAGTGTAATTAGTGGATTTGCTTTACCATTAAAGGAAGAGCACAGATCGTTTTTCTCCAGGGCGTTGATACCTCTGCACAAGCCGAAATCTTTGGGTGTCTATCATCAACAGTTAGCATATTGTGTCGTACAGTTCATAGAAAAGGAACAAAATCTTGCTAGCGTAGCGATAACGAGATTGTTGAGGTATTGGCCGGTGACAAGTAGCCAGAAACAGTTGATGTTCATCAGTGAGTTGGAAGAGCTTTTGGAAATGATCAGTGTTGCAGAATTTGAGAAGATCATGGTGCCGTTGTTTCGTCGTATAGGTTATTGCCTTAACAGCTCCCATTTCCAGGTAATGTATCTCAATCAAAGTGCTTGCTCTTGGCCTACTAGTCTTTTTCTTTTCTCTGTACACTATGTTTGGCTGTCTGAGGGACAGGTAAAAAAGCAAATAAAGGAGGCTGATTATCATACGCAACTGAATTGGAGAGTGTGATGTCTCATTAGAAAGAATCAGAAGTACTAATTTCATGTGCATGGTAGAGAAGTAGTTAATTCCAAATCTCTAGCTTAAGGTTAACTTCAGCTTCAAACGTCGTATCAACAACTTTAAAGTGTGGTTTTTTATGCTTAGGATGTCGCCAGGAATGAAAAGTTTGGTCCTTTTATGTATTTAGTAGCTACAAAAGTAGTTTTGACTTTAATTTGGACATTTGTGAAGATGTGGTTATCCAAAAAAGAAATAAAGTAAAGAAAAGAAACGAACCTTGGAAGTTGGATTTTGGGATCTTACCTGTCATTTGTTGCATTAACAACCCTTTTTGAAATGGAGCTTTATAGAAGAAGCTTTTCACACTGTACCTAGCGTCGTAAACCATATTGATTGGATAGTCTTAATCATCTGACTCACGGTGCTTGGTACTGTTAGTTGTGCAGAGTCAGCTCTATCTCTTGAAGTAACATGCTGCATTTCCATCCCTTTGAGGGGCGATAGCTCCAAAGATGTATCCAATTTAGGGAGATATTCCGGCCCTTGAAAGCGCCTTCTGTGCAATTTGTTTAGCCTAATATCTTTACTTTTCCAATGTGTGGGTGATAGGTGCATGTCACAAGTTCGAATCCTGTCAGTCTGTCACAGACAAAAAGCATGGTGTTTAAGTGGGAAGGTTAGAGGGGCGAGCCCATAATTCATCGAGTTTGAATCATGAACCATGGACTTTTGGGGATTTCTCGGTTATAAAAGAAATTTTTACTTTGCCAAATATCTGAGACTGGAAGTTCCTTTGACATAAATTATGCATATATCTTTTTTCTTAAATACTAGAATGAAAATGATCCTAGTGGAGGAGAGTGGATATTAGAGGATTCATATAGCCGACCTCAACTAGTTTAGGATTGAGGTATAGTTGTCGCCTTTTCTTTGTCCCCTCTGGTCGGAGTAAGTGGGGAGGGGGTTTGTTCCACTTGTTCAGAGTTGGGAATGTATTATTTATCTCATTAATTCTTGTTTCTGTGTTCGTCTTCTAAATGCCACTTTCTTTAACTCATTCACATACAATTGACTCCTCGCAACAAGTACCTTATTCTGCTGCATTTGATAAACTTGCAGGTGGCCGAAAGAGCACATTTCTTGTGGAACAACGATAACGTCCTTAACCTCGTGATGCATAACAGGCATGTCATCATGCCAATTATTGTCTCAGCTTTAGAACGTAACAGCCAAAACCACTGGAATAAAGCAGTTCTTAATCTGACACAAAATGTGAGGAAAGTCTTTTCCGAGATGGATGAAGAACTTGTACTCCACTGCCAAAGCAAACTCGAAGAAGAAAATTCAAAGTCAAATGTAGCAGCCGAGAGACGAAGGTTGACATGGGAGCGCCTAGAAATCGCTGCTAACTATCAACCTGTTACCATGCCTTCTAATATTTCCGGCCTGGTAAAACCCGCCACTTGTCTTGTTTCGTGCTAATATGATCGTTGATTTATATCAGAAGTATCTTAGCTCATTCACGTGGTTTATTCCGCGACCCAAAAAAAAACATGCATGTTGTTTAGTGTATGGATTTGTCTTGAATATGAATGTATATAGATTCAGATTTTACTAATTTCTAAAGCTGTGGTAAGTGATTACTACCATGACTTATTCTTTTGATTTTTAAAGAAGATAAGCCATTTGGTTGCACTCGCCTACATCACAGTTTTTTTTTGGGAATTGCGTCGAAATACTATTAAACATCAGCAATGAACTATATTAGTATGCTCTTCTTGTCAAGAATATGAAGAGATTAGTTTTTCAGTATCAAAAGAATGGTTTTAGCTGTTTGGTTTTGCAGGTTAGCAAATATTACTAAGTCATTGTCTTATTTTTCTTTCAACTATCAAAGTCAGATTGGATTTTAGCTTCTTTTGCATTTACCTTGTTGGAGGGGAACCTTGGAGCAACAGTGAAGTTATCTCCGTGTGACCTATAGGTCACGGGTTCGAGCCGTGGAATCAGCCATTGATGCTTGCATTAGGATAGGCTGCCTAAATCACACCCCTTAGGGGGCGGCCCTTCTCCGGAACAACGGTAAAGTTGTCTCTGTGTGACCCGTGGAATCAGCCGCTATACTTGCATTAGGATAGACTGCCTAAATTACCCCTTGGGGTGCGGCGTGAAGGCGGGATGCTTCGTGCACAGGAGTACCTTTTGCATTTACCTTGTAATATAATATAGGCCAATATTCTATTGAATTCTTGACGGGAAAATGAGGGGAGTACTCATTATCTATTGCCAACTAATCAGATTCGTGTCGTATAGGGCCTATTAAAGGGAGACGCATTTCCTATCAGGAATATCTCTATTTTCCGGTGTGGAACGCAAGACTTCTAGTTAAGGGTGGACTCTGAAATGATTAAGAATGAAATTTGATTGGGTTTACCCTATTTGTCCATAAAAAATTTCTTTCTTTTTTCGATTCCACACCCC